GGGGAAGGGGGGGGGGAGACAGGCCTGAGCCAGCCTGTGACCCCCGAGGGGCGGCCCACAGTACCTGCCAAACACCGGCCCGCCCAGCAGCTGAAGCACACCCAAGGTCGTCTGCAGGTAGCCAAAGGCGACAGAATCCAGCCCCAAGCTCCGGGACAGGTACTGAAACACAGGAGGGGTCATGGGAAGGGTCTGGGAAGGACCCCAATATCCAGAATCGGGGGTCCTCGGTGGGCGGGGGGGTCCGTGAGTCTGTCCCTGACTGCCCCGCGGTGTGCCTGGCAGGGACCTTTGGCACTGGGACTGGGCCGCTCGTCTTGGTGGGGGCTGCAGGGGCCTCTAGGACCCGGCTCCAGGAGCTCAGGGGAGGCAGCTGCTGGGCCTCCTTCCCCCTGTGGGGTACACTCACACCCGCGGGCCGGGCGAGGGGAGCCGCTCGGCCCCCACCATTTTGGCTTCATTCACTCAGAGCTGGTAGGGGAGAGACTGTGGTGTGTCCAGGTCAGCAGGACATTGTCCCCAATGCCCCGATGGCCTCCAGAAGGTGCCCCTTCTCCCAGCAAGACACGGTCAGCTCTGTGTGGCTCCTGGCCCCTTCTGACGGATGCCCATCTGGGGAGCGAAAGGCAGTGACCAGTGTCCCTCCACGGGACCTGAGGAGGCATGGGAGCCCTGGTCTCCTGTCCCGGCCTGCCCTGATTCTCTGTGGCTCCAGGATGCCTGTGGCTGCCCCTTCTTTGGCCCTGGCCTCTGGGCTCCTGTCCCCTGCCTCCAGGGATCCCACTTAATGGGTTAAATCGTCCGCGCAATCATGTGTCGAAGCCCTGGGTCATCGGGATGCGCCTGTTGGGGGCATCACCATCCCGCCACACTCAGACGGCGCAGCCGACCACCCGCCGCGAGGGGGCAGCTCGTCTGGGCCGCGTTCTGAGTTCTAGGACGGGGCGCTCAGTGGGCCTCGCTGAACAAGCACACGCCCCTCCCCAGAGAGCTGCCCCTCTCTCTGAGGGTGCTAACTGCTCACAAACAGTGGGGACAGCCAGGCACCTCCCTAGGCCTCCAGGCTGCTGCTGAGGGGGTGGACCAGGCCATTCGGCAAACTGAGCTGCGCTTGGGTGACCCAAGGGACAGAGCTCGGGTCACTGGTTGGCCTGCAGCCCCTGCCAGGCCAGGAATGATGACGAAGGCCATCCCCGCTCCTGCCCAGACCCCCAGGCCCAGGCTGCTCGTGAGAGTCTCCTGGGGAACTTCTGACAGTGCCCAGCGGCTGGGGCCATGGCTCCCCCAGGCCAGCTGGTGAAGGACCTCTGAGGCTCTGGGGCGTCTTCCGCCCCGGCGGAGCTGTCGCCCGGGCTGAGAGCCTGTGGCCAGCCGCCTCTGGTTTCTGGAATGAACGAACAGGAGTGCACAGGAGATGGCCAGGCTGGTGGGTGGGCGCTAACCTGGAAGTCACAGTGGCCACTTGACCAACTGCCTACCAGGGCCAGGCCGCAGAGGATGGATGGAGCAGGTCTCGCCCTCGCGTCCTGGTACCCGAGACAGAAGTAGCCCAGGGCCGTGGAACAGGATGTGGGCTGTGGGCAAGCCGCACGAGGACCGACCCACCAGAACCAGGGATGGAACGGAAGTGGGTCTCAGTGCCAGGTGGGAAGTGGGTCTCAGTGCCTGCCACAGAGCGGGCCTGAGCAGGGGCCCGGATGCAGCTAGGATGTGAGCTGAGCAGATGCTGGGGTGGGGGGGAGGGGTGAACAGAGCTAGGACCCGGAAGTGGGCCGCTTGGCAGTGGGGCGGCTTCCCACGGCCCCTCTCCAAGGCTGCAAGGCTGGCGGGGCCTCCGGAGTCCAAGACGTGCTGATGGGAGTCAAGAGGCACAGTCCCTGGGTCTCTTAACTTGCTCAGCTCCAGTGTGGCAAGGGGCCCCCAGAGAGAGGGGCCAGAGCAGCATCAGGCCCCCACCCCTTGCCCCTGCCGTGGCCCAGGTGGGCAACGAGACGGCAGGCTGGGCTTGGGTGACCCGGGGAGTCACTGGGGCAGAGGGCAGGCGAGGGCAGGCTGGCGGCCGGCTGCCGGGGCAGGAGGCACTCACCGGCAGGACAGAGAACTGCATGAAGAGGCACGTGAACTCCAGGGTGGCCAGCGCATAGGTGAGCAGGAGGGTCGTGGGCCAGCCCAGGGCGCCCATCTCGGCAGGGGACTGGCCCCTGCGGGCCCTAGCTCCCTGCATCCTGGGCACAGGAAACCTGGTAGGTACCCGAGCTGGAGGGTGGTGGAATAGGCGGAGTCAAAAGTCCTCTTGTGCTGGGCGACGGTGCTGAGTCACTGGGCGGGAGGTGGGTGGCGGTGGTGCCGGCCTGGCCTCACTGCAGGAGAGGACAGCGCTTCAGGACCCCGGCCGGGCGCCCTTAGAGAGCGTGGCAGGTGTCCCTGCCCCTTCATAACTGATAGCTCCAGGCGTCTGGGCACACAGCCACCATGGGGCCGGAGACAGGGGCCCTCCCCACACATACCTTACACAGGAAGGCAGGGCACCCCATTTTTAGAGGGAGACAAGGCCTAGCTAGGTTGGTTGCTGACTGCAGCGCAGGTAGGTGCCTCCTGAGGGTGTGGGGCTCATCTGGGAGCGTGTGCCCGGGGAGGGGGTGGGACTCCTGAGGCCTACGGTGCACCCCAGCACGTGCAGCAGCTTTTGGCCACCAGAGGCCTACCTTCCTCGTTTTAACAGCCCGAGGGAGCTTCTGGCAGGGCCTGGGGGTGGGGCGACAGACCGGCTCAGCCTGACACGCCCCGAGGTGGCCCTGCTCCCCTGCACAGGCAACCCAGGCTGGCTCCTTTCTCCCTGGCCTGACTTTGCCCAGGCTCTCAGACACCCCATTTCTCCCAGGTTGGCGTGAAAGGCAGGAGCTCTGAGCTTTCAAGGAGTACCTGGTGTCCAGACCACGCACGGGGTGGAAGGAGAGGGGACCGGGGCTGGGAAGAAGGATAGGAGGGGGGAGGGGTAGAGGGCAGGGGGAGGCGGCAGACAGACCCACAGGAGGGGCATGGGGTGGAAGGACAGGGGACAGGGGTGCAGGAGGGGGACCTACCCCACAGACCAGGGGGCTACAGAGCTGGTACTTGTCCCCATGTCACACTGCGGTGACCTCGCCCCCTTGGCCCCAGGTCACCAGAGTCCCAAGCTGTGCAGATGCTCATGGCTTCAAGCCGTCCCTCTGGAGAGTCGGGGGGCTGGGCGGGAGGGGGCTTACAGCCGTGGGGAGCCCCGGGAAGCACGCAGACTACATTGAGCCTGGCATGACTCACCAGAGACGTAACCAGGTGTCCAGCAGCTCAGAGACCGGCCGCAGGCTTGAATGTCAAAACCAAAGTCCACTCTGCCATGTTAAGTCCAGCTCAGCAGAATAGAGAACCGCAGGGAGCAAGGAGCCTGAGAGAGGAGGGCAGCCGGCCTCGGAGCCCCTCTCGCGGTGCCCGGGGAGGACTGGGAGGGCCGGGAGGGCGGGCCAAAGTCCAGGCACCGGGCACCAGGTGCCGGTTGGCCCGGAGTCGGCAGGGGCGTGGCTCACGGCCACCCCTGGGCACCGCGGGCCTGGGCTGGAGTTGGACTGCGGCCCAGCGCACACGCCCAAGGCTCTAACTATAAGGATGAAAACGAGGACGATGCCTGAACGTGAACCAGTCACTGTTTTTTGATCCTTGGTCACCATTCCTCAGGGCCTGATTGGAAATCCGTGCCTTCGGTCCATGTGACACAATTGGGGCCTGACAGAATGAAGAGCTCACGGTTCTGTCCCGTGCAGTCACCTGTCTACATGGTCAGTGTCGGCATCCAGCCCTCCCCTCCCGTCTTCCCCTCCGTCTGTGTCTGACAGGGCGGCCCGTTCTCTGCCCGCTCAGAGATGCTGAGGGCGAGCACCCCCAGGGTACAGCAGGTGAGTCAGTGGGCTGTCCTCGAAGGACTGCGCAGAAGGCTGGCCTGCGGGAGGGGGTGACCCCGGTCTCCGATGTCAGAGTCATGGCTGCTGGGGGAGGACTGAAGTCTGGATGGTTCCATACCCCATGCGGGCGGGGGAGAGACTCCCCAGGAGGGTCTGGAGCCCCGAGGCCCACTGGGCTCCCGGCCTGGCTGCTCTCCAGGACAGGCCCGGAGGTCAGGATGTGTGCTGGCTCCTCCTGGGCACCCCCAGCAGAGGTCAGGGATGAGAGATCTCGGCCTGACCAGGGGCAGACAGGGCCGCCAGGGGGCCCCTGGTGCTTGCATGGGGCGGGGACAGAGCCGCTGTTACTCACCTCACCGTCCTGGGTCGGGCAGGGCCTGTGAACGGTGTCGAACTGGTTGGGGCAGAAGCAATTGGATCTCTGCAGGGGCGTTTGTCCCGACAGGCTCAGCGAGGAGGTCGGGGAGTTTCCTGGTCTTCGGGGAGTGTGGGAAGGCTGCCTTTCGGGCTGGAGGTGGGGGGAGCAGCACCTGGGAGCCCGGAACCTCTTTCAGAGCAAGCAGCTTTGGCTGTGGGCCTGTGTGGCCAACGCACTCACTCAGCCACTCAACAAACGCTCTGCGCTCCCCCAGGACCCACAGCCCCCAGGACCCTGAGAAAATGGTTCTACCAGACCGGACTGATCTGGGCTAGCTGAGACATCTGGGGCGGAGCTGGGGAGGAGGGCTTCTTGGAGGAGGTGATGCCTCCACGAAGTCTTAAGGATGAACGCAGGCTGGCCGGGTACGGGAAAGGCATGGCAGGCAGAGGGAATAGCATGGACGAGGCCCAGGCTTGGGGTGTTTGCAAACCGAGAACCCTGGGTGGGTCGGGGGCACAGATGTGCAGCAGGGGGAGGGGCCGTGAGGCCCAGATCTCGGAGTATCCCGCAGGCCACAGCGAAGCCCTGCGGGGCCCCAGAAAGGCTGGGAGTGGGAGGGACACTGTGAGGAGGGACACCCAGGCTCAAGTGTGCTGGCTGGTGAGACCCTGTGAGCATCCCAGAGCTGGCAGGGTCCGAGGGGCCAGAGGACGTCTGAATCCGGCACAGGCCCTGAAACAGGCAGCCCCACTGGAACCGACACGCATTTATTGAGCACCTACTGTGTGCTGGGCTCCGTGCCCCATGCTCGGGACATTCAGCCAACAGGATTGACTGTGACTCGCATTCCAGCGTGCCTGAGGGCTTCTGTGCGTGGGCACGCGTGTGTGTGTGGGTGGGCCAGGGCAGACATCACCCGGCGTGTGTGACGCATAAGCAGACGTCGCTGCCGTGAGCAGGTGGGCTTTGCTCTGCGGGCGGAGGTGCCGTCACGGGGTTCCGAGCCTGCCTGGTGTTCTCGAAGGGACCTTTGGCCAAAGTGCTTATCAGAGACTGGGGAGCAGCAAAGGGCAGATTTTGTTGGGGTGACGAGGGTGCGGGTGGGAGGTGGCAGTGGAGGGTCCCAGGCTGGGGCTCTGCACACCCGGGGTATTGAGCAGCCGCCAGCTGAGAAGGGGACCTGGCGGGGGGGCGTTGGGGAGGTGGCGGGCTCTCTGTGGGGGAGACCTGCCAGCACTCAGAGCTCCAGTGGGTGGGGACGTGGGTAGCACACAGGTGCGGCACAGGGCGGGGGTCTGAGTGCAGGTGTGAATCGGGGTGTCCTTCGCATGGAGGTGGTTTTGGGGTGCTAACAGAACGAGATGGCTTGGGACGGGTCCCGTGGTACGTGCTCACGACAGCGCTTGTTACTCTGCTATGCCCCAAGGGAAATCCTGCCTCAGGTCATCTCTTTGGGGTCACCAACCAGGCTTTGGCTGGGGCTAGGCCGGGGCAGGGGCAGCTTCTGACGGGGGTCCCTTGCCTGCCCCTCACCTTCTCAGCGGGGGTACATGCAGTTTCAGGTCTTGGCCAGCAGGGGCGCCAACCCTCACAGCAGCATCTGTCCCGTCCCTGTCTGTCATTCAGACTCCAGCCTGGTGTCCCTGGTGTCACGGCCTGACGAAGGGCACCTGGCCGCTGCAGGCGTGGGGCCCGGCCGCAGTGTGCCAGCTCCATCTTGGGGGTGGTCGGGTTAAGGGTCCAGGAGGAAGGGCGTGACGTGCCTCTGCAGCTGCCCCTTCAGGGCTGGGCTAGCACGTGCCAAGGAACCTTCTAGAACTGGGGCCCAGGAGTAGACTGCTGGGGTTGGAGTCTGGGCAGGGGCTTCTCGAGGAGGGGGCAGGGGCTGGACCTCACGCAGTTCCAATTTGCTCTGGGGGCAAGTCGTGGGCACTTCCTGGAGGAGGAGGCCACGCCAGCCAGCAGAGGTGTCTCCGCCTGCCTCTGGTGACCCGGACACCCCAGTGTCCAGGCGGAGGGGGTGCCGCGGCCTGTGCAGGGGACAGAGGCCCACCGCTCACCCGCTGAGCTCTGCCGTGCTGGGCCCAGTGCTGGCACGCGGGGTCCCGTGCGGTGGGGTGGGGTCACTCCAGGGGCTCATGCCAGGTGGTGGCCCCAAGTGAGAGGGATACAGGTCTCGATGACACAGAAGGCTGCAAGGGTGGTGTCCAGGCGAGAGGCCCGCAGACCGGACACGCAGGGGCCCTCGGGTGACAGCTGGGGTACGCCGCGGGGTGGCCCGTCCTGTTTCTTCCACAACCAGAGGAGAGGAGGAGCAGGGCCCCTGCCTTGGGGGGTGCCCCGCACACAGACCCCTGCACCCTGGCTGCCTGGGACTTGGGGCTTCCCACGTGAGAACGACAGCCCTAGACAAAGCGGGGAGGGTGGCCCCCCTGCGCCCACGGCTCCCTGGAGGCCAGATAGACTCGCTCTGGACCTTGACCTGGAGTGGAAGAAGGAAGGAAAGACAGGGGGTGCGCAGCCCGAGCAGCGGCGTGGGGGTGGGCACCGCGAGGTCACGGGCCCCCCCTCAGAACCCCGAGGGACGCCGTGCCCCGTCTTCTGTACTTGGGCGGGAATAGCAGCTTCAAAGGCGGGGTGTCTGTCCAGGGGCCAGCGGCTGGCTGCTGGTGGTCCGGGCTGGCCAGGCCCTCAGAAGGGCGTGGGACACGGGAGAGCGGGGCTCAGAGGCCAGCCACGTGCCCGAGCGCCAGGCCCGGCCAGGGGAGACGCGGCCCACTGGGCGGCGTGGACGCGGCTCTCCCGACAGCGTTTTGTCCTTCCGTCCCACACCCAGCGTCTCCCAGAACCTCCGTCCACTGGGGACCCGGCGAGGAATGCGGAGAGAAGCAGGAAGCACTTTCGGGGAGCCGGAGGCCAGGCCCGCGCCCACGCGCCCGCACGCCTCCCCTGCCCGGCGGCAGCCTCAGGAGCCCGGCTGTC